TTGGATTATATATTCTATTTTTTTATTTTTTATTTTATTTATAATCGCTTCCATATTATTATTACATCTTAATTAAATATACCAATAAAATGATGTGCAATATGCCAATATTATTATGAAATATTTCTTAGGGTAGATCCAGCCACCAAAATATTTTATCATTACCCTTTTGTCTCTCTGCCACTTTACAATATAAACATGCATCTAATTAAAGTTATCACTTAATTAGTGGATCACAGACCCCAATATTAAATTGTTAATTTACACATATTTTTATAATTATTCAAAACCAACATGAATTTTCGATGTAGATAGAGTTTTGATTTAACAGATATTACATTATAACAAAATTAGTAGTAATATATCATTGTTGAAAATTATGAAATTTTCTGCCACTTGAAAATAGTCTTAAATATTAAAAGTGGTTGAAACAAGACTTTTGATTTAATTTAAGATCAGTTTCATCAGTTGGTGGAAATTCCATAATTTTCAGTAATATATATATATATATATATTATTCTGTCTGAATCAATGGCAGATGAAAACCTCTTATTTATAGAATATAGACCTAATTTGGAAAGATACAAACGCTGTCTTCATGGCGCTCAAAGCATGGCTGATATATCTGTGCATGGAGCGACAACTCGTCGACTCGGTGGCTCGAGTTAACTTGACTCATCACAGCCTCCTCTTGCTGGCTGTCATGTTTTCACTCTGTTCAAGCTCGTGGCGGTGCTGCGGCGGCGCTACCGCCGCACAAGAGCTTCTGAAAGGCTTCAAAGCTACTCCAGATCCTTCTGTTTCGTCTTTTCAGTCTCTTTTGAGAGATTCCACTGGTAACTACTCACTGGGTTTCCTCCGAGTTGAGGAAACCCACCTCGCCCTCGCCGTCGTGCATGTCCGGTCATCGGAATCTCTATGGACGGCGAAGATGACCCCATTACCGAGATGGACCGGCGGTACTGAGCTCTTCTTCAACGGCAGCCTGGTGGTGTCCGATCCGAGGTCAGGGGTGTTTTGGTCAACTTACACCGACGGAGACCGCGTTTGGCTCTCCAACACCTCGAATCTCCAAATTCAGAAAGGAGTGAGCTTTGAGTCTGTCTTGTGGCAGAGCTTTGACTTTCCCACAAATACCCTCGTCGAGAATCAGAATTTCACTAGTGCCATGAGCCTTGTCTCCTCAAACGGGCTTTATTCCATGCGATTGGGCTCTGATTTCATCGGGCTCTATGCCAAGTTCGGGCACGGGCCGGATCCGGGTCAATTATATTGGAAGCACACGGCGTTACAAGCCAAAGCAGAAATTATAAACGGCCAAGGACCCATTTACGCTATACTCAAGTCGGACGGGTATTTGGGCATGTACCAAAACGGGTCGGTTCCGGTTGACGTGGAGTCTTTCAACAGTTACCAAGTGTTTGTCTCCGGCGTCCGCCGTCTCCGTCTAGAACAAGACGGAAACCTAAACGGGTATTTCTGGACCGGGTCAAGTTGGGCCCCGGATTACAACGCCATATCCGACCCGTGCGAGTTACCAAACGCCTGCGGGTCGTACGGCCTGTGCGAGCCGGGCAAAGGCTGCTCCTGCCTGGACAACGCGACGGAACTCACCGCCTCGGGCACGTGCGCCTCGCCGGAGAATCAAGATTCCGGCGACCTATGCCAAGCCTTTCAGAGCAAGTACAAGACGCTGAGAAGGAACGGCGTGGAACTGCCGTTCAAGGAGCTGATGGGTTACGTAAAAATGGAGTCTTTCGAGGAATGCGAGAGTGCATGTGAAGTGAACTGCTCATGTTGGGGTGCGGTGTACAGTAACTCGTCTGGGTTCTGCTACACGCTAGAATACCCTGTCGGGACACTAGTGAGAGTCATGGATGAGAGCAAGATGGGTTTCTTTAAGGTGAGGGAGGGTGCAGGGAAACGCAAGATGAGGGTGGGGGTATGGGTAGGGTTGGGGCTATTGTGTGGGGCCATCTTGGTGGTTGGTGGGGTAGGGGTGGGGTGGTATAAGTGTAGAAAGGGAAAGAGAGGGGTGGGTGGGTATGGAGAAGAAGAAATTGGCATTGGTGTTGGACCATACAAGCATTTAGGTGCAGAGAGTTTTAGGTCAATTGAGCTAAGCAAAAGATGAGTAAATTAGTGGTGCAAATTGGATAGCTTCTTGACTTTGAAACTTCTCAACTTTGTTTGTAGGTTTTTTATGATCTTTCGAGAAAACTCAACCATTGTTAGTAACCCATGTCACATAAGTTGTTTGACTTAAATTCATATAAATTGTTTTTGGAAAGTAATGAAAGAAATTTGAAGTCATTACTTAAGAATATGTATTGGGTAAATTTATTTTTATTTAATAGTTTGTAAATTATATGAAAGAGATAAATCGCATTATAAAAATTATTATAAATTTTCTTTGTTTATGTTATTGAAATAAATATCTATTCTTTCAATATGTTGAATCTTTCAAAATGTTGAATCTCCAACCTTAAAGATCCCTATGTTTTGGCTGGACAGAGTATGTGAAAGGAGGTAAATTATGATAATCCAATAGCTTAATAGACATGGTCAAATTTCGATGCGTACAAGAAATCTGCTCAGTTTAAACATAATCCTCACACTGTTACTGTTGAGTTTTGAATATTAGTCTCTTTTCTCGAATACAGCGAGACAAAAAATCTAGTCTTCTTTTGGAGGTTGGAAGATGAGGTAAGGGATGACGTACATCTTTGAAGGGGATGGCTCACCATTTCTTTTGCTCTTAGCTTGTGGGGGCCCTTCAATGATCCTAATATTTTATAAAAGTTAGACAAGAAGAAAAAGGGGGCGTCTTAATAGAAAGTGGTGTGCCACAAAAAGTTGAAGAGGGAGTTGGTCATCACTCATCAGATAGGGCAAAGATCCAGTCAATGACTTTACTATATACAATATTGTACTTGTTTTGCTGAGGTGGTAATATAAGAATATAGGATAATGACAGCCTTGTTGAGCTGTTACTTGTAAACTTTTCTCAATCTAAAAATAAAAATTCTATGTTATATAGTTGTAGAATTTTTATGGGGTTCGAATCTTTTGTATATGATAAAATCACACATGAATATATTTTTTGAATATGTGATATGTCCTTTTTAAATAAATAATGTGAAAACAAAAGTTGATAATATATAGTAGATGTAATCAAATAATATATGTGATTGTGCCGACGGAATACAAAAGACATCAATGTAGATTGACATAGTAAAAAAAAGTATTGTAATCTGATAATTTATTTATTATTCAACTTAAAGATCAATATAGATTGAAAAAGATACTTTGCTATTCAATGTCTTATTTTATCCATTACTCATATTATTCTCCTCATTTATCAGGTCGTTTAGTCTAATTTGTGTTGGCTCTGGAAGGAAAAGATCATTACAAACTTTTATATAACTATTGGATATTGAGAGCTTTGACGAGTATGCCAAAAAAAAAAAAATAGTAATGAAAGATCATATTATTAATGTGACTATAAAATCGTCGGAGATTTGATTAAAAGTCAAACTTTACTAAAGTGACCTAGATTGTGTTTGTATTAGTCTCAATTAAAATAGTGAAGATAGCAGATATTTTGTGTGTGTGTGTGTGTGTGTGTGTGTATATATGTGACTTGGCACATATTTAATGCAATTGTTATACCATGGACCTTAGTTCATCTTACATTGTGGATCCTAATTCAAAAATTATGTGTCTGCAATTGATATATTGAAGGAACATCACATGTTAACGAAATGCACATAAAATGGTAACTTCAAACACAAACTGTTAATTGTAGGTACAAAATATGTTAACTACAGACACCTAATATGTTAATAATATATTATGCGTATGTAATTAACATATTCTGTACCTAGAGTTAATAGTGCATGTGTTTGTAGTTAACATGTAGTGTGCCTTCAATTAATTTATAGACACATAAATTGTTAACTTATTTACAAAATAAGTCAACACATAATGAGCCAGGTTCATGGTAATGTGGTATAAGACAAATTATTCTGTGAACTCGAGTCCACCTTGTAAGATGAATCTATGTCTAAAATTACACAATTTACCTACTGAATGTTCACAATTTACATATTGAATGTTACACAATTTACATACTGAATGTTTTACATACTGAATGTTCACAATTCAAATTGTGAACATTCAGTATGTAAATTCTGAACATTTAGTAATAAATTGTGCTTTTGGACCCGGATCCATGGTATAACTGCAGATGGTATGATTTGCCGGCAAATTATATCGTGGACCAGGGTCCACTGTACATTGTAGATCCTGGTTAAATACAAGAATTTGGTTTCATAATGCACACAATTCATGTTTATAATGTACAAAATTCATGTTCATAAGACACACACATAAATACAATATAATGAACATGAATTTTGTGTATTATGTTAAGTGTTTATGTGTACTCAGCTATATAATACACATAATTCATGTTCATAATGCACAAAATTTATGTTCATTATATCGTGTTTATGTACATGTGTATTATGAACATAAATTCTGTGCATTATGAACATGAATTGTGTGCATTGCACTGTGGACCCTGATCCACGATATAACGATTGATGATTTGTCTATTTAATGTAATTGGATCATAGCTAAGCACATTGTGCTCAGATAACACCTCTGTGGCTCCCCTTGAAAGAAGGTTACAGAATCAAATTTCAATGGTGGGAAATTGACTCTTTGTACTAGAATACTTAGAGAGAGTATAGAACATATATTACATTGTAATAGAGTCAATAGTATTCAAAAAAATTATGTAATTGGGCTTGGGCTAATACTAGTGATGAAATCGTTTAAAAAGTACAATTGGGCCTTCATGCTGGGGCCCACAAGAAGCCCCCACACAAATCGATTTGGTCACTACACGTGTACAATGATGATCATTGATCAGCACTCAGCAGCATGATGCATTGTCTTCCTCGATTTCCTATGAAACTTAGGACATTGTCTGATCGAAGTACAAGCAGAAATGTTGAGCAAATTAATGTCGTCCTGAACAACGAACAATCCGCCGAAACTTAGTACGATCGGTCAGTATTATTTCATTCTACTTAGATTTAATTCTTCATTTTTCATCCAAATACACTGCCCAGATTGCACTTTTATTTGCATGGAAGTTCAAGATCACATTTTTCTGCGTTGTTAAGTTTAAGTTATCGATAAAGATCGATGAATTCATAGTGTTTGTACTAATGCATTCTGGGTTGCAATTATAACTGAAATCTACTTAAGCAAATTATGGGTTTTACTCCGCGTGCGTGAATTTTTCCAAAGTTGCCGTCTTTTGAACGGTTTAAGGTTTCTGAGAATTTAATGATTTCCCATCTTCGTGTGCAGAGTTGATTCTAGTCATGATCTTCTGAAATGGTTTCCATAAATAAGCTTCTCCTTAGCAAATCTGTAGGTGCTGTTGTGATTTTCTGATAGTTTGTTGAGATTTCTGCTGGTTTTTGTACATCATAGTACATGAGTTCATACCTTAAAGGCTTATTAAACTAACTGTTTCTGAGAAAGACAATCCCAAGTCCCAGATCCCAATGGCGTTTACAAACTCGAATGATGAAATTTGTGAGCCATCTAAGAAGTTGGCAGAGCAACTGAAAGGGTTGGACCAAGAGCTGATTGATAATGAGATATTTGTGTGTGTGCCTGGATCTGAATCTGACTTCATTTTAGGACCATGTTTTAAGACCAAGATTCCATCAGAGGTTTCGTGTTTTTACCCGTTGGCGGAAGGGGAGAGGCTGTTCCACCGCTCGCTTGAGCCTGATAGGCACAATATAGGTAAGACAATGAGGTCATGGCCAACTGTGAATAGAACTTGGATTGATTGGGTTGATCGGGTAGCAAAGGCGAAAGGCAAGGTCTGGAAGGCTGCTGGGATCTACGATGCTATTCAGCTCTCGAAGATTGATATTCCCATGGACAAGAATCTGCTTTATGCCGCGTTGTTCTTTTGGTCAGTCTCGACTAATTCGTTCCATTTTAGCGTTGGGATGATGAGCCCGACGGTACTAGATGTAGTTGCATTGACGGGGTTTATGCCACACGGGGAGGAAGTCTGTGGCGTTCTCAGCACGCTCGAATCGAGTGAGGATTTTGGTATGAAAAGGATAAGTAGCGACGAACAGTTTAGCTATTGCAAATTCTTGGATGTCTCGATGGGTGGTGTTGCAGTGACAGAGGACGAACATATCTCGTTTCTCGTTATGTGGCTCTCGAGATATCTGATCTGCAATTCTTCTCCGAGCATGATGAAAGAATATACCAAATTAGCGTTTGCCCTTTCTGCTGGCAGGAAGCTCGCGTTGGCTCCTATGGTCTTGTCTAGTCTCTATCATGTATGCAGGGATATCGTTATGAACGAGTTCGATGGTGGAGGGGGTCCTTTGTGGATCTTACAGTTTTGGATACAATCCTATTTTCCAGAATATGGACCGTTGATATCTGATACTGTTAGTGCTCAAACGTACGGGTTTCCTTTGGCTAAAGGCGTGTTAAGGGCTAAAACGTTCAACCAATGCTTCACGTTCTTCCTAACGTGCTCGTCTAGAGCTCCTAGTCAGTTCACTCCGTTTTCTTCCGGAACTTATGGTCCCGAGTGGTTTAAGAGGTCACTCGATCCCAAATTTCATTCGAAAGAGGTGAACGATATTTGGGCAAGTTACCTTCTTCCACGTGACCTCCACTATAGTCTCCTTGTCGATGGATCTCCGAATTGCAAATGCAAATGCAAATGCAAAGTAGAACATTATAATCCGAACCAGTTTGCTCGACAGTTCGGGATGACACAGGCTGTCCCTCTTCCTCTGTGCCAACCCCCCGCCAATTCTCGAAGACTAGTGTTTCAGTCGTTGGATCGTGTTGAGGAGGCCAGTTCGATGTTTGATAGGCTAAAGAGGAAGTTCTCTTTTGTTCCCTTTAACGTTAATCCAAAATCTACTATATTTTTTGATTCCTGGTGGTCGGCTTATATACGTAGTACTCAAACGAGCTCAACCACAAAAATCATCAGCAAGGCACCACCGACTATAGTTAATCTCAGTTCACATGCCATGCGGGCAAGGTACGAACAGTCTGCTGCAGAATTTGCCAGTAACAAGAAAATGAAGTGCGAAGGTATATATGGTTAGTCTTTTGTTGTTAAATTCTAAGGCCTAATCTTAGCATATATACCTTGTAAGATCGAGGTTGTCATTTGTTCAGGGAATTCTGCCCCGTTTCTCAATAGACGAAAAATCCCACATAACAAAGCGGGGAAGCCTTCGATAAAGAAGGGAAACACACAATCTTTCAAGGTAAAATTTAGTCAATTAAGCATTTGTTTTTTCAAGTGAATTCTTAGACCTTAGCTATGAACAGATACTACATTGTAACAGAGTCAGTAGTACTCAAAAAAAACAAAGAGTGAATTCTTAGACCTAATTATTTCCCCGGTCGTGTTTTAGAAAATATCCAAGCCTTCTATGCATCGAGAACCACCACCTCAAGGCAAACCTATAGTCAAATCTGTTCCCGTGGCCTTGTACTCTAGCAAGCCGTCTGTTGAGACGACTGTAGTTGAAGGGAAAACGGATAATGGCAGCTCGGTTTTGGATGATGATACACCCTCCTCCGCCTCATCCTTCACTTCAGAAGAAGTAATTTCGACTTCTTTACTCTGGTATTGTATATATATGGAGTAATATATTTCTATTTCTTTCGATCGAGTTCTAACTTTTTTATTTACTCAGGAGGTAGACCGAACCATGCCTTGCCCATCGTTAGCCGAGACTGATGAGATGCCTATCGAATTGTCTAACGTTGAGGACTTTTTTGCGAAAGTGGAAACCCAAATCAGAAAGGCGCAATTTCTCAGCTTTTCTGCATGCCATTCTCCTCCCATGGACGATGAAACATCGGCTCTAAACACGTCTCCACCCTCAGCAGAAATGCTGGCAAAAGCAAAAGATGACATATCGAGATTTCTTCTGATGCCTTTCCAAGACGTTCTCGCAGCTGAAAACTTCTCGGCTCTAAACGCTGCACTCTCTACATACACTGCTGCTTCAGATCTCTCGATCGACACCACATTTGCCTTGAAGACACTCAAAACGAGTCTCCCAGACCTCTGCTCCAGTTTTTGTCGAGCAAAGAAGGACCAGGAAGAGTTCTACACGAAATCTGCCAAGAAAGTGCTTCTGGTCGACGAGCTCAAACGAGGCCAAGAGCTCTACCATGACCTGAAAGACAATCACGATAAGCTCGATTCCACCATGGATTCCATCAAGAACCAAATCAAGGAGCTGAAGACAAGCTGGAAGGAGGCAAAACAGCAGAAGAAAGCGATTCAGACACAGAAACTGAGTTTGGCCAAGGATTCCTTCACAAAATGTTCTGCACTAGACGAAATAGAATCCGAGCTCCCTGCCATGGAACAGAAGAAAGAAGTGGCTGATTCAGATATCGCCCGAGTAGAGGCTAGCTGGGCAGACTTCAAACACAAACTAATGCAGCCGCCACAGCCTTGAAATCGATCATATGTTTCCAGCAGAATCGTACATCCTAAATGCTCGATTTTGCAGGTGCCGGAGCATGCAAGTATGTTTAGCTGTTTATTTTCCAGCTTTGAACAGCATGCAGATATATATGCATGTATATCCCTTTCAGTATCTTGGCTTCCAAGAAAGATGCATGCATGCATGTAAATCATACCCCTTTTGTGACAACATGTGTTTTGAATCCTATGTTTGATCTATTTAAGGTTGCTGTATATGTAATCTTTCTGAAGCCTAGAACATGTGTTCATGGTTGCTGTTTCAGGTTTCATGTTCATCATCCTTGCCTCCTAAAGCAAGGTTACAACTTACAATCCTGCAAACTCCTACAACATAGTATGCATTTCTTTAATTCTTTATAGGGATAATATCGATTTTTATTATTGTATTTATATTTATACTAAGTATAGTTTCAGTCTAGCAGTCGGGTATGACACTCGAGCTCATCAGCAGTCAACACTCGGGACGTGACGAATCAGTCTTGGCTCCCTAGCTCCTTCCATAACCTTCCCTCTCATTAAATTATAACATTAATTTGGGAGAAGAAATTATAACATTAATATAATTACCCATAAATATTTCATTAATTACCCATAATAACCATTAATTCCATTAATTACCCATAAAATTACCGTTACCTTCCTACCTATTCCTCTATTATTATAAATTATAAAAGCCTTAGTTAGAACAAAGAATGGGGAGGGGCCTCCATCTCTTTGGAGAAGACAACAATACAATATGTACAAAATTACCAAAAGATAGTGATTGAATTTATGGCTTGATATTGCACAAAAATGCTCGTAGTTTTTACCTTTCGATTTTTAAGTTAAAATTATTGTGTCTACTTATATCTTTATTTCATCCTCTTTGTGAGATTACTCATTCTGAACACCAAATACTTGTCGGTCTGCTGTATGGAATTCTTGAAGATGGATATATCGATTGTGTGCATGCAAAGTGTATAGGCCACCGGACATGACGATTTATAATTTACCTCATTCAATAACTCCCAGAAAGAGTTTCAAGGAATTCAAAATTAGTCTGCCCTAACTTGAGAAAACGAATTGCATATTAAAAAAACCCTAATATAAAGTGATGTGACTTCTTCAGACTATCTAATTCCACTCTCTAGAAGTCATAGATGATGCTCATATACTCACGTAGGCAGGAAGAAACAACCTCGGTCCCCAACAACATCGTTTTTGCAGAAAAAAAATGCAAGCTTTGAAGCCAGACAAGATCATCGACGAGGTATTCGTCCCTACTACTTCATCATCTCCCTCTGATTACATCCTAGGACCATGCGCCGACGCCGACGAGTCTCCTTCAAAGCTCGCCTCTCGCTACCCACTACACGAAGGGGGAGAGCTCCTCCTGCATTCTTTACAACCCGAGTTGTTCAAGAATGACAAGCCTTTCAGGCTATGGCCGTTCGTAAACGTGAACTGGGCGAACTGGGTAAACCGAGTAGAGAAGGAAAAATGGAAACTTTGGAAATCGATAGGGATATACGACGCCATTCAGCTCTCCAAGATTGAAATCCCCAAGGACAAGAATCTTCTTTACGCCGCCCTTTGCTTCTGGTCGAGTTCGCATAATGCTTTCCACTTTAGGTTTGGAATGATGTCCCCGACCGTGGTAGACATCGTTTCCTTGACTGGGCTCCGGCCACATGGGGACGAAGCCTTTGCTCTTCGCAATGAAACCAACTATGAGTTCCCTCGTACTGAGGAGGGGGAAGAAATCTTTGCCTATGGGAAATTTCTTGAGGCTTCGGTTGGGAAAACAGGAACAGTTACAGAACATGAACATGTTTCTTTCTTGATTATGTGGCTGTCAAAATTTGTGTTCTGTGATACTTCTGAGAGAATTTCAAGAAAGTATGCACAGTTAGCATTTGCTCTTGCCACTGGCAAGAAGCTGGGTTTAGCTCCCTTAGTGTTATGCCATCTTTATCATACTTGTAAAGGGATTGTTGGGAACAAATTTGGCCGTTCTGGGGGACCCTTTTGGATCCTACAGCTTTGGCTGCACTCATATTTCCCAGAAGTTAGGCCTAAGGATAATGGCATTGGCACAGATGATGATAAGATCAGCTATGGGGTGGGTTTGGCTAGAGGCCAGCTACAACCCAGAAGCTTTAGTCAATATTTTAAGTTCTTTTACACATGCCCTGCTAGAACTGCTACCCAGTTTATTCCACATTGCACCGTGGCTGCCCCGAAATGGTTTCAGGAGTCTTTGTATCCTAACAGTGCAAAAGGGAGTAGGAAAGAGTTGGTGGATATGTGGGGTAGCTATTTTGTTGCTCGAACATTGTCACTTTGCCTTGCAGGTTGCCCGAGGGTTAAGTCGGGTTGCTGCAAGTGTGGGGTGGAGTATTACTCGCCCAATCAGTTTGCTCGGCAGCTGGGGATGAGGCAGGGTGTTCCACTGCCTCCTCTTCAGTCTGCAACTCATTCTTCAGCTCAAGTTCTGTCTCGGTCAGTGAAAACGCCTGAAGAAGCTAATCAGAGGTTTGAGAAATTAAGGAGGAAGTTCTCATTTCTTGAAGGCGGCTCTGCAGAGTCAAAGTGTAGTAAATCGTTCGAGTCGTGGTGGATGATATATGTAGCTAAAACATGGACAAAATCAGCTGATGATATCCTCGATCGGGTCTTCCCCTTACAAGGCGCGATTCCTGTTGCTATTCCTCTTTGTATCAATTGGGAAGCTGTGAAACTGCAGGATCCATCATGCTGTAGTAGTGTGAAGGTTTCTAAAGAAACTTCCATAAAGAAGAAAGGGATATATGAAGGTATAATCTTGATTTTATTCTGCTGTGTTTCTATTAAGAAAGATATAATCGTTCATTTATCCTTTTTCAGATTTCTGGATCAAACTGTCCTCACTTGCATATCAAATGAAATGATGAAAAGTTCCTCTCAGACTTGATTGACAGTAATTCCTTGTTTTTTGTCAGGGCTTCTCATTTCATCCTTAAACGAATCCGAGAAGGGGGGTTATGATGAACAAGGATGTTCACATGAAATGGAGGAGAAGCCATCCATGAAGGCAAAGAGAAAATTCGAACATGTAAATCTTCAAACACATTTCATCCTTAAATCTTCAAACGCATTTCCATATCTGCATATGTCGTAAATCCTTCTTTCTGATTTGCCTCTTCTGTTTCCTTTTCATGTTTTTGGAATCACCAAGACTTCTCCTTTATGCCATGGCTTGGTAGAAACCAGTTCGAGTCACAAGACTGATGGTGACACTTCAGTGTCAGATGGAATTCGCTCTTTCACCTCGCCTCTTCCATACGATAAAGTAAATAAATGTTCTTGTTACTTTAGCATAGTTTAATGTTATTGTTAGAATCAAAATCCGGTGTTTCATGTCTTAAGTTGTTTCCAGGATGTTGGGATCGGGGCAATGGATGAAGTCACGCCTGCTGATCCTTCTAGCGAAATTGCAGACTTCTTTTCTCAGGTTGCAACTCAACTTAAACAAGCTCAAACTGCAGATGTTGAGTTGCCCTCACTGAAGAAGCCTCGCCACTCTGCTGAATCTATTGCAAAATCCCGAAGCAATGTTCACAAATTCCTCCAAATGCCTTTTGAGGATGCTGTTCTTCCTGATAACCGTTCTGCACTTGATGCTTCGATCCCCATTTATGCTGCCTCACCGAATCTGCCTGTTTCAAAAACGTGTGCTTTGAAGAAACTCAAACTAGACCTCCCATTGCTTTGCTCGGATTTCTATCAGGCAAAGAAGGATCACGAGGAGTATCGTGCTAAGGTGGCCGAGAAAGTATCCCTGGTGGATGAACTAACGAAAGCAGAGGAATCCCACACGTTCCTAAAGAACAAACTCGAGAAACTTAACATCAAAATCCTGCAACTCAAAGAGAGCCTGAAGGAGGCAGAGAAAAGTAAGGAAGACATCGAGAAGCAGCAGTTAAACCTGAAAAACTCGTGCTCTCCCAAGCTAGATGCACTGAACGAGGTGAACGCCAAGTTTTGTGGTTTGGAGAAGAAAAAGGAAGAAGCTGATTCTGTCATTGCTCAAGTGGAGGCTAGTTGGGCAGACATCAGGTTAAAGATCACTGATTCGTAAGCTTCAACTTTGCAGATTCCTGCATAAGAATATAAGTTTTTTTTTTTTTTTCTTTCTGTTATCATGCTCAGCAGATCAGATCGAGCCCGTTAAACATATCCATTTTGTGGTGATGTTAGACTCAGAAACTAATGTAAATGACTTGAAAAATGTTACTTTAGATTAATGTGAAAGGGTGCAGGTAGCTTCTCATCCAAGACTGATCTGATCTTTTATGTTTTCTCATCAGCATCCATGGATGCTGCAACATATAATTGCAGACCACGTTGGTGGTCCTTCATGGTTTTCCATTCTTGAATGCTGCTAAAAAACATTCTCGGATACTAAACAAATGGGACATCATGAATGGAGCCATTCACACCCTGCCATTACTGCAAATAAAAATTAAAAAAACTCAGTTGAATTGAAGCCTTATCTTGCATCAGAATATGTCTCCTTCAATGAGGAAAGGCTTTCTTGTGCGCCATGATTAGGATGCAAGTGGCTTCTGGTCCCAATATTGGTTGCTCCTTCGCTTTCAGCTCCAACAGAACCATCATAACATGCACTGTTTTGCTGTTGCATGTCAAAATGCTTCAACTTGGGAAAGTTTTTGCCATTATGATTGATGCATTTTCTGGGCATCTAAGGAATAAGACTGTTGGTTTTTCTTTAATTTGCTCATTGTGTCATGGGGAAGAATCTCTCGAGACTCAAAAGTTATAACTGATAGTAAAAATACAAATTTATTTTCTTTTACTTGCGTAACAATTTGTATCACGTTTCGAATGCACGTGTGCCTGCAATAGTGATGTTGGGCGTGATTTTCCTTATACTTGTGTAACACCGCTACTGGGTAGCAAAATTACAACTTTATTTTCTTATATTTGTAGGATGGTGGACTTGATTTTCTTTATATTTGGGTAGCAGCTTGCATCCTGTTTCGAATGCAAATAAAATTGTGGACACTGTCCAAAACGGTGTCGTTTATATTAAGTCGTCAACCAGTACATCATGTTTAATAGCATTCATGATGTATTATGTCCATAATATTTGTTAGTTCTATCTGATCATAAACTTAAACCTTAATATACATAAACACTAAGCATCATGTACATCATGTCTATTTTCATTAACTTTGTAGTAGGATCATAATGTTCCTTCTATCAGTTTATAAAAACAAAACTTAATGCACATAAACATTACACTAGAAGTACATCATGAGTGTAGTGTGTGGGAAGTGTGGCGAAAAGTGTGAATAGTAATTTACCATGCTACTTTGAACTTGGACCATGCAAAATGAACCTTGATCCAAATATAACGATTGATGCTTGGAATGAGCATAGACATTTGAAATGCTGAACTTGGTTCTCTAGGCTTTTGTCCAATAAAATTACAGTATAATATAATTTGTCTACCAAAAAAAATGACAAATATATAGCATTACCTATACATAAATTTATGTGTGGATTTTCATTTTTAAACTTTGATTAAAAAGTTATGATATGAAAGTATGATTGTTTATGATGTTTGACAACGTTTTGATGTTGGATAGATCTCTCAATTCAATATAATCTAATTAGGTGGCGCTTGTTTTTTTTCCAACTTCGTTGTACTTCCTTAAATGGTAGTTGTGGTCAGTGCATCATTGAAACAGATGGTTTCATATTTTAAGCAACAGATCCAACTAACTTAGACCAACTTTCCTACTACAAATAATGCCACAGAACAAACCTAAGTTTATCAATGCATGATTTTTATGCCTTTTTTCAAAGTACTGTTGTACTGTACAAACATTCAAATGAATACTCGATTCCGATAGTAATGTTTAACCTCAAAATATGATCGAGGAAATTTATGGTCAAACAAAAAAAACTATGATGCTCATCAGAAGGTGACCGAATGAGTGGGACATGATTTGATTGAACTCGTCACACATGATCATTCTTGTATCGTTTACTTATGTTGCGTAGTAATTTGCACTAAGGTAGAGTTATTAATGTCTAAATTTGACAAGAACAAGAATAGGAATAATTTAGAAACTCGAAAAATGAACAATGATGAAACCAAAAGTGGATTACTAAATTTAAAGTCATCATGGTAGTCAAAAAATTTAGATCAAATTTATTATTTCATTGTGGAGTAATAATTATACCAAGAGTAATTCTTTGTCCTCTTACAAAAATCACTCCCTAGTATTCTTTACGAGAACGTAATAACCTGTAATTATTGTATTAGATTGAAGAGATTCTTTATATATTAACTGGCAGTGGGTCAGTCAATTCATAAATAATTACGTATTTTTGACATATCCTAACCATAATATTCCTATCTTAATAATTATAACCCACGCCGGCCACGCATATGAATATTATGATATGCATGTATCTCTTCTAACATAACCAGAGGTCTCGAATTCGGTAAATTGTAATAATCATAAACCACCATGCTTTGTTAGTGAGATACTATTTCTTAATCTTCTATTCTAATTCTAATAATACATCGTATTAATATTAATAATTAATAATACATGATGATATAAAATAACAGATGACAGTCAGATGAAGTGTCGTAGAAAGTTCAGTATAAAGAAAGTCTTATGAATCAATAGCGCCCCCTATTCTTCCGACCGTTTATGTATAAATATCAGAATATGTTAAGGTAAGAGAATCATCAAATTTTTATAATAATAATAATTATCGTCAACACTATGATCTGTCCAAACTTGGGTCTTCTCTCCTTTCATTTTCTATCTGATTCTTTGCTTTCAGTTACACTGTAAACTCGGAAGAACAGCAACTGCTTCATTAAAAAAAACAAAACAAAAAAAAAAAACCACCTTTTACGTGTTCCACCTTCCTCCATCTGCAAAACCCATAATTTTGTTGCTTTCAAGGTCGGGAAAAATCATGAGAAACATGGCGACTTGTTACAGTGAAGGTGCTATCAAAGTGACGGACGCCGGTAGAAGAAGAAGGTCTGTGAGTTCATCGGTTCCGGCGTATAAGAAGGCGGTGAGATGTCTGTACCGAGTGAAGTTGTCGTCCGAGGAGCAGTTCTTGATCAAGATCACTTGGTGCGGCGTGGCGGCGCGGGGATTCTGGATCAGTGTCTGCGATTATCCGTGTTCTTCGTCGAACAAGAATTATTGCAGCAGACAGATACAGAAGGCTAAGGGGTCGGTTCCAATCCAAGGTTGTCGCGCGATGAGGAGTAGTGAAGTATTCTGGGATCTCACGAACGCTTCCTACGGTGCCGGCCCGGAACCGCTCGCCGGGTTCTGCATACTTGTCTTGATCAACTCAGAAATCGTCTTGTTCCTCGGAGATGACGACCAAGAATTAGCTTCACAGAAGTGCAGTTCCGGGTTGAAAGTCGCCGGCTTTACACTGGTTTCCCGGTGTGAGTATTTTTCCGCCGCCGCCGCCTCCGGCGGCGGCGGCGGCGCTGGTTTCTCGACAAAGGCGCGGTTCTGCGATTCCGGCACCAGCCACGACATTCTGATCAGGTGCACGGGGGAAGAAAAGGGTGCAAGAAGCTCGACACTTTCAGTCACCATTGATGAGAGGAATGTGATTGTGGTGCCCAGATTGCAGTGGAATTTCCGGGGGAATCAGACGATTTTCGTGGACGGATTGCTGGTGGATATGATGTGGGACGCTCATGAATGGATGTTTAACCAGAAATCCGGCGGGGCGGTGTTCATGTTTAGAACCAGGAGTGGATTGGATAGCAGGCTGTGGTTAGCAGAGAAGAATTTGGAGCAGAAAGAACAGGAGAATTTGGGCTTTTCTTTCTTGATCTGTGCCTGCAAGAACCCTAGCTGATGATATATTGCTGCTGCAATTTGGTTGAACTTCAATTCTGGTTTAGTTTTCATATATACTTTTATCTGTTGTCCAAGAAATTGTAGAATGGGTGTGGAGATTAGTGTTTGCAGATGAACCATGTTTTTAATGTATTAATTCCTTCCCTAGCTTCCTCTCTCACCCCATCTATCTGACATTTTGCATTCCAACTTTTTGTAACTCCGAGTCTCAATGCAAGTAGATCTAAGTTTGAATTTCATTATCTAATCTAATGTATATATATAGTTGAATGTAGTTTAAAACGTATATATAAACGATTTATGAGAGTGTCTACTAATTTGTTAATTACATATAAATTTTGATGATATATGAACAATTTATGGATATATTTAACAATTAGCTACTATATATAATATATACTGAGTAATTAACTGGTTTGACCAGCCAATAGTAGGTGGTTTGTATGTTCCCATAGCCAATAGTATTGGGCTAGTTTTTCTTTTTTTGAGTATATCTAGGTTTCCACCGTTGAACACAGTGACTAATTCCCTTACTAGATTATAAGCACCTTTGTTAGGTGGGGCAATTGGCCTGAAGATTTAAAGCTACTCCATACTCAAAATCAAGGATCAAACCCTTATATTTTGTTAAGAATGGATGAATTCCTTTCACTAAATCACACTCCAGATTCTAGTATTGGGCTACTTGAATGTAGAGGCTGCTGCATAGTAATAAGCACTATTAAATAATGGTGAAATACTTAGTCTAAGATTCTTTTTGTAATCTGGTCCAAAGAATATTCTATTCTATATAACCACTTTAATCCTCAAAGTTAATGGCTCTCTGATTGTAAGGAGTTGATTTCCCTTTTCTATAAAGAATTTTTTTTTTTTAGGGTACTCATACTTTGACGTGATAAAATAATGAAAAATTGGAGTAAATTCTAATAACTCACAGCACATTAGATACAAAGATTGGTGTTGAGTGCCTATAAAGAACTCATCACACTATATGAATCTTTCATACTGTGAGTCTATGACTATTAGATCAGAGCTCCATCATGTATTGTGGTTGTTAAAGTTTGATAATGTGTCGCCCACAAAAAACTGATTTTACTTAGTGGTATATTTTTTATACCTTGAGTGAAGAAAATAGATTAGATATTTTAATTTTCTCATCACCTAGAGATGACATGAGAGAGATTAGGGTACTATAGTACTTGTTGGATCAATTATATTACAAAATTACATGAAAGATCTATTTTAGGCTGATGCCCCAGGTGTCACGATACAAAGAATTAAGTAGGCATTCCTTAATCTCCATCTCTGATATACCAAAAAAAAAAAAAAAAAACTTTATTTTTCTTAAAATATACAAGTAGTAGTGAAATTGGAGAGATAATGTAATTTTTGTTCAGTTCAAATAATCCCAACAACATTTTAAAGTTTAAACTAATCTCCCAAGTCAGAAATTGTTTGTGGTAAACAAATGAATTGAAGAGAGAAAAACGCAGTCAAATGTGCCCAAACACAAAAACCGGTTTACTCGAAACGGAGACCAATAATTCTCGACAAAATCGATGGGTGATGCCATTCATGAATTTGCGCGCAAATCTCCATCACTTCCTTATATAAAACTCTTACCAATTCATTCTCTTCTCACATCTCTCTATCCCTCTTCTTCTCTCCCATTCTTCACCCATCTTTCCAACAACAATCTCATCACAATGTCTTGCTACAAGGGGAAATATGCCGGTAAATTTAAACACATAATTAAACTGCCCGTTTATTTATACATTAATGGGATGAAGTTTTGATCTTTTGTTGTTTGTTAATGCAGATGAGCTGATTGCTAATGCTACGTACATTGGGACACCGGGAAAGGGGATTCTCGCCGCCGACGAGTCCACCGGCACGATCGGGAAGCGTTTGCAGAGCATCAACACTGAGAATAATGAAGCCAACAGGAGAACTCTCCGGGAGCTGCTCTTCACCACTCCCGGTGCTCTTCAGTACCTCAGCGGTGTCATCTTGTTCGAGGAAACCTTGTACCAGTCCACCTCTTCTGGTACGTCGGATTTAACATCGGAATTTAAATGCCTTATAAAATAAAATGTGATAATAATAACGCTAATAAATTTTCAGGCAAGAAATTTGTTGATCTCATGAAGGAAGGCAACGTGCTTCCTGGAATCAAGGTTGACAGCGGCGTGGTGGAGCTCCCCGGAACCAACGGCGAGACGACGACCCAGGGTCTCGACGGGCTAGCCCAACGGTGCCAGAAGTACTACGAGGCTGGAGCCCGGTTCGCGAAATGGCGAGCGGTTCTCAAGATCGGCACCAACGAGCCGACTCAGCTTTCCATCAACGAGAACGCCAACGGCCTCGCGCGCTACGCCATAATCTGCCAGCAAAACGGGCTGGTCCCGATCGTGGAGCCGGAGATCCTCGTCGACGGGCCCCACGACATCGAGAAATGCGCCGACGTCACCGAGCGCGTCCTCGCCGCCTGCTATAAAGCCCTCAACGACCACCACGTCCTCCTCGAAGGCACCCTCTTGAAGCCCAACATGGTGACGCCGGGATCCGACTGCAAAAACCGCGTCAAGGCGGAAGTGATCGCGGAGTACACGGTGCGGGCGTTGCAGCGCACGATGCCGGCGGCCGTCCCCGCGGTGGTTTTCCTGTCCGGCGGGCAGAGCGAGGAGGAGGCGACGGTGAACCTGAACGCCATGAATAAACTGAAGACTAAGAAGCCATGGAACCTTACGTTCTCCTATGGCCGCGCTCTGCAACAGAGTACTCTCAAGGCTTGGGGTGGAAAGCAGGAGAACTACAAGGCGGCGCAGGATGTTTTCCTGGCCAGATGCAAAGCTAACTCCGAGGCCACCCTCGGAACTTATGCCGGCTCCGCAAACCTCGCCGCCGGCGCTTCCGAGAGCCTCCATGAAAAGGATTACAAGTACTAAGACTAATTCCGAATCAGCATGGGAGTGTTTAATTTATTACTATCTAGGATTTTTTTTAAAAAATAAAGTTTCTATCCAACCCCACCCCATCCCCAGATGCTTTGTCGGGTCAGGGTGTGAGGGTTCTTGGGTTTAGAATTCAACTTTAGGGAAGAATAAATCTTGAATAACATTGATGTTTTGTTTGAAATTCAATGATTTTTTAATAAGATTATGAATTTTAGTCCGTGATTTCAAAGACATGCTTATTTATTGATTGGAGGATTTTAAAGTATAATAAATAGTTTTTTTTTTTTTTAAACTATAATAAACACTATGGCAAATTACATAGTTGTATGAACCATGAATAAAAAGTCACATTATTTGAGTACTGAAAATACAACTACAGTTTCATTTCAATATAATTACAGTTTCATTCAATATTTATAGACTCAAATATGTGAAAATGTAATTTAATTTAATTTTATATACACTATAGTTTTATTAAAACACAATTACATGATCATTTTGATATAATTGTACAATAAACACTCAAATATGTAAAATGTTATTTAGTTTCATTAGTGTCGGTTTAGATATACTATAGTGTTAGTTGGTAATTAACATATACAAAATGTGCGCTCTGTTAAACTAATGGTGCATCGTTTCTTTACTAAGAAATGGTACTGTTTTGACCGTTGTCTACAATATAAAGACTAGAACACCATATACCCAGCTATAGCAGTTGGGTTAGGGAAAATTGGCCCAAGTTCAGGTGCAGTTGTTGGCCCAATGTGGAAAATGAACCCAAGTCCAAGCCCAACTCACCAATACAATTATAAAAATATACTCCTTTACGTCCCATTTTTTAAGATATTAAAAAAAAAAGGAATAAGGGTCAAATAGGCCATCGAACTGCACACAATAATGCAATTAGGCCACTGAACCTAAAAAACCAACAATTAGGTCCCTAAACTAACCAATTTCAAACAATTCTTTCAATTTATAGGTTTCTAACAAGTTAACAGGTCATCCTCCCAAATTAATTATTTTTTAAAAAATAAAATTTAAAAATTAATTATTTAAATAATTAAAAAAAAAAAACAGAATTCAGCCGATCTGTTTTTTTTTTTTTTTAAAAATTAAAAATTAATTTTTAAATTTTATTTTTAAAAAAATAATTAATTTGGAGGATAACCTGTTGACTTGTTGGAAACCTTCAAATTGGAAGAATTGTTATGAATTGATAAGTTTAGGGACTCAATTGTTGGTTTTTTGGGTTCAGTGGCCTAATTGTATTATCATGTGCAGTTGGATGGCCTATTTGACCCTTATTCCAAAAAAAAAAGACGAGAGAGATAAAGGGGAGTAGAAGTAGAGAAAGGGTGTGGGTGAAGTAGCTTTAAGGAAAACATTTGGGCAGGTTTCCAAATTGGGATAAAGAGATGAAAATAGAGAGATCTTAAAGGGGTTTTAGTATGACAAAATATATATGATGCATTATTTGCATTGGTAGGCCTCTCTCTCAGTCAGTAGTCAAATCATATATATTGGCATCACCCTTAAAAGCTCATTACCCATCAAATATTAATATATTATAGATCGCTCTTACAATTTTTGTTTCTTTTAATTTTGACGGAGTGTGTATTATTAACTTTGTTACAATATAATATCGGTCTTTACATACTTTTTAAGCTTATTAAAACACAAAGAGTTTGTTCTCATTTGAATTCAAATATGTGACCTCCTATTTAAAAGAATCACAGTATACCGCTTTCATTAAGATTTTTGGCTAAAAATGAGTCATTTGTGTGTGAGATTTTTAAGGTAGCATTGGGAGTTACAACACTAGAGAACACTATACGTTTTTCATCAAACTGGAGTTTGAGAGGGATAAAGCTGCGAAATTTATGTCTACTTTTTACCACTCTTGTATTTTCCTTTATCTTTTGGCAGAATTATTATTATTTTTTATATTTGTATTATGCCCACGAGCATTATTTTAATGTACTTATTAAATTAATATTAATAAACATAAATAAATAAGGACTGAGAGATGACGACACAACAGTAGTACTGTAGTATGTTTAATATAATTCAGAATGCTGTTTCCAGTTCTGTATTACCATAAATACCATGATGTTTTTTTGAAATTATTTTTTTCCCCTAAAAAAATTTTCTGTCTATTTTCCCTTCAGAGAATCTGAGTTAAAAGTATGAATTGTACTTTACAACATTAAAATGGCCATACGGTTCAAACAAGAACCACTTACAAGTTACAACATTGAGGAAAGAATCTGAGTTAAAAGTATGGATTTTACTGTACTTAATTGCCAAAATTTAATCTTTTTTACATGTAACAATACCATGGTACTATCCTAGGAAAAGTAAATAGTGGGATATTAACTATTTTCTCACTGCAAAAAAAAAAAAAAAAAAAAAAAAAAAAAAAACTATTTTCTTGGTCCACTAAACTGAGATTTGAAAATGTATCACTATATCAGCTGGTTCACTTATCACATCAAACATCACTATACCACTCATTAGACCAAATTTTACCTCCTTAATAAGTCTTAGGTTCTCTTATCACATCACCAAAAAACTATTATTTTGTTCTAGTATGAACAATATAGTAAGTTCACTCATTGTTGCATTAACTATACTCATCAACTATTGCAAATAATGTTTTATTAGGTCCACCCGTCATATTAAATATATATAGTATCTGTCAGCCATACATTAGTTGAAGATAAGATGCGAATATAAGTTGTACCCACTCAATTAAAGCAATTAACTATATTGTCACATCAATCAATTTACACATATATATGGAAAACACTAACTTTAATTAAATGTATGGAAAACACTAACTTTAATTAAATGTATTTGTGCTCAATTATTTCCAAATATTTTAATAGAATGATATATATATTAGTTTCTTTGTGTTGATGGCAAGTTTGAAGTTGTTGTTTAATGATGTCTACATATGAAAGTTAATTCTATCGAGCACTAAGAAAGAGCCCACGCAAAGGGTAGTTTCTACCTTCTAATAACTTAGTTAACTAAACCACAAATTATCATGGTACTCCACATTGAGGTCAAAGGAATTATGAAGTATCCTATACATATATTTGAAATTAGTACAATGTTATTATTAGGGACATGTGCTACTATATATACATAGAGAGACGTTTTGTTTAAGTGGCAGACAGATATGAAAAATATAGTGTCCCATTAAGATAAAGTGATTTGTTATGATATTCGTGTATCTGAAAAGTTTGAAAAGATTAGAATTTTTTCTTTTGCTAGGTAATGAAATGATGATTGCAAGATTTGAGAATATATGACTATAACATATCAAAAAGGATTTTTGTTCTTTTTTATTTAAGAATAAATTTTGGAGGATAGGGGTCTCCTATTGGGAATCCAAAAGCTATATTTAGTAGCAAAAACACATAGTTTCTGTCTTTTTTCTTATACTTGTGTAACAGACAACGCCATATATGTTTCAATGGCAGGATGTTGGACTCAGCTCTTCGAGCTCCGGTCCAACATTTACTACCATTGACTTAAGATTAACAATGGGAATCAGAAATCTATATTGGGGGAATCAATAGATCAGATGAAGAAAGAAGAAGCAATTGAGAGAGTAACTGCACATCAAAGTTAATAACAAATGAAAACAATTTATTAAAGTTGAGAAGTCCAGCCTAGAAGATGTTGCATTCATGTTAGCAGCAACCTTAGCTTAATAAAACACAAATATAATCCCATAATGTTTTTGTCTGCCTATGAAGAAAGCCAGCACTTAGAGCTAAACCAACTTACCTTAATTCAATTCCTTTCTAGCCACAGTCAGCCATTGATCGATATCCTGACCTCTTCTGATCATGATCAGCTACTCTTACAATACCCTCTCAAGCCTGATGAATAATCCTGAGAATGAAATATTTTACAAATATTGTTGTCTGGTAATAATAAAAACTTTATTTTTCATCATCTCCACCTCCATTGCTGAGTTTCAACCCGTAATTCTCCCATAAGTTATCTGCATTGTCCCCCATCAGAAGCCTAAAACAGCTATCGTTGATGGCGGGGTTGATGGGGTGGTGGTGATTGTCATTGGGTTGTGGTTGTTCTGGGCAGTATGAGCCTCCATTAATGTTGTTCTGGAAAGAGTAGCAGCTTCCTATGTTGTTGTTTTCTTCGTCGTCTTTTCTTTTCTTGTTGCATTTATTACTAAGGTAGTTGTTAATGTGGATCCATTTGTGTCTACACATTGTTGCGGTCCTGTCGTAGCCAAGATAAGACATTTTTGTTGCTATTTCCTCCCACAGAACATCATCGGAGCACCCAATTTGGGGGTTCTGAAACCTGGGTTCCATGTTGTTTCTGATTTGGATAAGCTTTGAGATTTCATTCTCCGGCCAGGGATCTGCAGCATCCTCGGACTTGAGGAGGATTAAGTCGTTGCCGGTTACCTTGTGTAAGGCCTCCATTAGAGCAGAATCTCGAGCTTCGATCCAGGCTCTCTCATTTGCCCAGAATTTCTGCTCCCTTTCCATCCTAGAAGCCTCCTGTTTTCGCCATTCATCCTCCCTTAACATCCTCTCTTCCTCCTTGTTCTCAATCGTCTTCATTATTTTATCCAACCACGCTTCCTGCTTCTCCATTAGCTTCCTCATTTGCCCGTCAATGAAGTCCTTAATCTTCGCCTTCCACCGCCCTTTCCCCTTCCTCTTCTTGCTCGCCATCCCGCCGCCGCCGCCCTGCAGATCGCTCTCGTCGTCCTCCGAGGATGTCGTCTCGTAATCCGAGGAATTCGACAGGCTGAGGCTGTCGGACACCTTTGAATCTTGATGATGATGATGATGAAAGGCGGCTGCGTCTTGGGTGGTGGTATTATTATTATTACCCCCCACGGCGGCGTTGTTGTAAGGAAAACTACCAGTCCCCGCGTGGTGGGTTTCCGACACCGAACCGGAATTATTGCTGGGTTCACCATAGAGAGCCTCCAGCTGTCGGAAAAATCTATAATGTTTCCCGTCTTGTCTCCCCGCCTTCCCTTCCTTGGTCTTCTTGTAATACTTGTACAAATTCTCGAACTTCTCCCTGCACTTCTTCCCGCTCCGCTGATACCCGTGTTCCTCGCACATAATCCTGGGAAACAAAAACATCAACCAAGAACCACAACCCATGCACCATTAATGCTCAAACAACAACCAACCCTAGTTCACTTCATGCGATATTGTATAGAGATAAATCACAGTAATTCAGTGGACCGTTAAGTAGAAGGACCAGCATCTAATGCTCACAAGATCGAGGGTAAAACTCGGGGAGGAGTTTTGCTAATCATAGGAAATCTCATGTTCTTTCGTTGTCACGCCACCCGGTTGGGGAATAGTGCGAAGACTTATATTTCTGGGATTGGGACTAGGAAAGATGGTAGCTTTGGGAGAGGGGCACAGTCATATCCCTTTCCCAAATGAAGCTCATATATCCAGCATATTGGGTTTCTTAATTGCTAATTTTGTTTAAGAATTAATGGCGGAAGTGACAGTAAAGAACTGGTTTTTGGGAGAGGTGACGAAATTATAGAGATGAATATGTAATCTGAATTCTCCGACTGAAGTTCTGGGTGTACTGTCATTTCCTAACACAGAATTAGCAACACATTATTAAACCATTAAAGTCACTCATGCATCTGGGACGACGTGAAGGTGAACATACAAGAATACTATGTTAAAAGAAATCTGGGACGAATTAAGGTTTTGAAACATATATTTTTGTCATGTTGTGTGAGATATTTGGGAAGAAAGATTAGGTAAAGATTTGGGTTTAGGGTTATGGTACCTGGAGACTTCATCCCAGAGGGGGCCTTTTTGATTAGCTTCTTTGAACTTGGGATCGAGTCTTGATCGGATCTCAAGGAGGGTGAGGGTCTCTTGGCGTGGCCAGCGGCCGTTACCGCCGTCGCAGCCGAGTCCGCCGCCAGCGGCGTCCATCTCCAGGCCGCTGAAGGCGGCGCTGGACGCGCCGCCGCCTGTGATGACGCTGGCGGTGGTGGTGGCGGCGTTGTTGGTGCTGCAGTCGGGGAGGAAGTCGTGGTGGAAGCCGCGGGGATGGGGTGGCACCGGTGGCATCACCATCTCGTAGGGGTGATGCGACGGCGGCGGCGGCGGCGCGAGATTCCGGTGGTGGGGGGATAGGAATTCTGGCGGCTGCGGGTGGGGAGTGGAAGTGTAAAGTGGGCGGTTGTTGATGAAGTTCCTTAGATCCGCCATTCCATACTGATCCTCCATTTACTGAAGAAGAAGAAGAAGAAGACGGCGACGAGAGGGCGGCGTGGGGGTTTCTGCGGTGGTTGGGAGGTTGAGGGCCGCCGTGAGAAAGCTGAGTAGGTTGGTGATGAAGCGGCAGAACCGGATCGTGTCCTCAAAAGAAAAGCTTTGAATTTAAGTGTTAAAAAGAAGTAGGGGCTAAGGAGGAGGAAGGGGAAGAGAGACCACTAAATGCACTGTTTACCCATTTCTCGTATCTCTCTCTCTCTCTCTCTCTGTCTCTACTGCTGCAATCCAAAGCTTTCTCTCTCTTTCTCTCTCTCCTCTCTTGTATGTATATACAAGTGCATACTCCATCCATCTCAAAAAAGAGAACTCATATATTTTTACCCACAAAATGTGAAATCTCGTCTGAGTCTCGTCTTCACATTCTTGTTTGACATATAATGAAGAGGTAAAGTAAGGTAATTCAGCAACTCGAGACCCCAAACTTCGATTCTACATATAATGAAAATGTAAATTAGGGTAACTAAGCAGTTCACTGGGTGGAAGGATGAGGAAAATCACTTATATACTTTCCATACACATGCAGCTCAATTAATTGACCAATTTAAGATGAGATTGACGGTCTATTTTATTAACGATCGTCCGTACAACTCGACAACCTTGGACATAAAAAAATATTATAAACAAGCATTTGGATGCCTATAGACTAATTGAGTCAGATCTCGATTTGCCTTTTCCATTCGTTTTTAGGGCAGGAGTGTTGAATGACGCTTAAGTTTAAAGTTCAAACTTACATATAAAACATTAATGTGTAATCCACTTTTAATTCAGACGAAACAAATAAGAAGATATGTTGCTTGTGGCTCTTCAATTATTCAACATGTACATGTATAATAACATGCTAACTTTTAATTGAAACGAGACAAAAAACATATGAGACCTTCGAATTTAGAGTGCAAATCAACAATATACATTTATCACCATTTTCTTTTTTCTTTTTGAGTTATTATTATTCGTTCGATTATGATGTATATGTATATTGGAGAAAGGTACGTTGTAGACATTTTTTTTTTTTTTTTTTTTTTTTTGGGGTGTGTGGGCAGTGTGGCAATTAGTCGTAAGGCAATAAAGCCAATAATTGCCAAAAGTGTCTTCTTTTAATATATTCCAAAAATTTGTCAAAATATTGCCTGCAGCATCGTAAACCTACACTACAATTTGAACATCATTAATGCAACAATATGCATTAAAAGCACTTTTCAAATAAAGTCTAATTTATAACTCTAGTCAACAAAATATCATAAAAGTAAATTAAATTATTCATAACTTCAAATTAATAAGCTAAGCTCTTTGTAATTACCAAGTTAATTGATCGATCAACCTTGTTGAAATTGTTCCCGTGACTAGATACTTGAAATTAAAGTACTCAAAAAAATGAATTTAAGTGGACATGAAGCTGCTAGCTTATAAATGAGGATGGGTACGTACGGTTTATACAACCCTAGCTAGTTACGTACGTTGTCTGTGTTGCCTGGCAAAATGAACAACAAACAATATTGTACAAAAGTGACATTATATTGTAGGTCAAAACATAACAACAATTCGAGTGAAAGATGTAAGAAATAAGTGTAACAAAAAAAAAAAGTTTAATAGTTCGAAAAAAGTGAAAAACGCGAATGAACAGTATTTTCAATACCCATAGTAATGTTCACCCGCGTTTCTAATTTTTAACAACTATTATAGAGTACTGTTCATCCGCCTGTTTCAATCTCATAAATATTTTTAGAGTTTAAAAAAAAATTATTTTCTATTTTTTTAGAAAAGTAAAAAAACAAAACAAAATTAAAAAAATCATTGAACAAGCATTTTTGTATTTAAAAACTGTGGTGCCACACATAATAATTGTAGAACTTTGGGAAAAAAGTGTACTGTCATCATATATACCTCTCACTTTTTAATTTGATTTTTTTTTCCTTTTCTGCTTTGGTTTGATTAATTATGTTATACAGTGCTTAGTGTACTGTCATTTTTGACACTTTTCTCCTTCACTCTAAGATCAGCAGTACTTTGTCTGATTCTTGTTTGTCTCTCTAGCAGTCTAGCTCAGAGTACACTATATATCTATACATATACATAACTACATGCATTATGCATATATATATATATATATATATATATATATATATATATATATATATATATATATATATATATATATATATCTTCCTCTACGTATTGTAAACGTATTGCGAGTAAATATATATTTTGATTTAATTTACGAGAAAGTTTAGAGTATACTATATGTCTATACGTATACTTTGATCATTTGTAGTCACTACTCGAATGTGTGTTATTGGGTGTGAAATTCGTTTTGTGACCCTGTCAGGACTATAATAAGCTAAGTCACTATAAATTGTCTGGTTGATTCAAACTTAAAAAAACAACTCCCATCCTCCCAAAGAGTTCAACTTGAAATATTGTGATTATCAAGTCAAAATTATCCGTATTTACATATATGTTATAGAGAGCTAAAGAGGGATTGGAAATGAAGTAGGGGGCAGGTACTATGTACGTGTTACTCGCAGTTGCATGATCTCATTCGTACATATCTGTTCATACATATAACACACACAAGTCCATCGCCTATGTACGTGTGTATATATATATATATATATATATATATATATATATATATATATATAGTGCTTTACGAGTTGTCCAACATGTAGTCGATATTCGAAGGTGCATGTGCTCTGAGTCGGCAAAGGACCACAAGGGGGAACTATTTGTAGGTGCATCATTTTAATTTGGGTGAATTGATCGAAGTCCACTTTGTGACCTTAGACTGGAAAAGGACTATAAGGAAGCTACCCGAATGTAGGAATTAATTATGATATGTAGAAATTAATTTTGAATTAATTCCAATTTATATTTTAAAATTTAATGTAATGATCATAACATTTGTATTAAACGTACTCCAGATTAAGTTATTGGTTACAAAGGTTACAATTTCTGAATTTATTTCAGATTTTAATGTCATTTTAAAGTTATTTATTCCATCTTCTTCTATAAATAGCTTGGTGTTGGGCAAATCGTTTCCTGCTGGTTTTTAACTTGAAAAATCATTTTTTCCTCTCTTCCTCTCTTCCTCTCTCAACCTTTTTCTTATGAAAAATCTGTCAACACTTTTGAAAATAATCAAAGTACTCATCTGTTGTTCTAGTTTGTGGGACTTTATGTTTGAGTACTCAAACACTAAAATCCGTAATCCGTTTTATCATCGGAGACACGCTACACTGCTCCTAGTAGTCCCGGGAGGTAGCAAATCAGTTCTAAGAAGAGTGTGAGTACACACGACTTGAATTTCCTCCTTCTTTTCTATTGGGTTTACAATCACACACTTTCAAGTTCGACTTCTTATAGGAAATGTCGATACACAAAAATAGTGTGTGTCTATATATATATATATATATATATATATATATATATATATATATATATATATTTAGGTTCTCGTGCGGGTGAGGGCTTCAGGTGCGGTTGTGCGGTTTAATCTGAGCCATCCATCTCGCTTTAATCAACGTCCAGGATTATCAAAGTTTTAAAAAAAACGCGGTGGCAATTTTGTAATTTTTGCATCTAGGTCAAAATTAAGGTGAACGGATCTGTGATTAATGTGCGTGAGTTTTGTGCTTAATGTGCGTGTGTTTTGTGCTTAATATGCGTGAGGTTTGTGCTTAATGTGCGTGAGGATGTGCTTAACGTGAATAGTTGTTAAAAGTTAAAGTCTGTGAGTGAATACTAGCTTAAAGTGCGTGAGTTTTGTGCTTAATGTGCGTGATGTTTGTGCTTAATGTGCGTGGGTTTTGTACTTAATGTGCGTGAGTTTTGTACTTGGTTGTTGAAACTTAAAGTATGTGAGTTAATATTTAAAGTGCGTGAGTTTTGTACTTAATGTGCGTGAGGTTGTGCTTAATGTGGGTGGGTTTTGTACTTAAAGTGCGTGAGTTTGTGATTAAGATCTAACACTTAAGGTGCACCAAGCCTCCGACTTGCCCTGGGCTTTGGCAAAACCCTCCAGCAAAGCTGCGCTACTCCTAAGCAAGATAAAAGGAGAAATCCAAATTCAAAGTATAGAGTTGATGAGTTGAATGAGTCTCCTCCTCGCCTTCCTGGTATTCGCACACTGGGCTTTGGCAAGCGTTTTTTTTTTTAAATTTTCATTGATTTGAGTCGTTGATCTAAATTTGATCAACTGCTCAGATTTAACCGCACAACCGCACGGGAAGCTATACTCGCACCTGAACCCTTCCCTATATATATATATATATATCCATTCTTTAGAAGAAGCTTGATATTAAGATCCATAACCACCATGTTTCGCCAATTAATTAGTACTCATCCTTGAAACTCACTAATAATAATTTAGGTGGAGTATTCTATTCACTATACCTATGCTAGCAGGATTTTTTTTTTTTTTTTTTTTGAAAAAAAAAAAAAAAAAAAACAAAACACATTTCCCTCGAGCCCTCGAAGCCTCGATTCAAACGATATAAAATGCTTTTAATGCTTATAAGTTAAAAAGTTACACATTTTCATGATTAAACAATATTGAAAATATTCCTCCTAAGCGTTTCCCAAAAGGGAAAGAATGAATCATAAGCATTGCATATTAGGATACCTTTATTTTCTTACATATTTTTTTAATAATACTTTAGGCCAGACTAAACATAATTAAACATTATTGTCTCAGCAAATTTCTAAGGAGGAGGACATTATGGTCTCACACTTTCATGATGACCACATTATTAAAATACAATTACTTTAATTTGTTTGGGCATTCCATTATTAGGCATCCCAATCAATTATTACGTGCACCTACCTATAAATCACACCCATGCATATTGTTTTTTTTTTTTTTTTATAATTATAAGTGGACAATTGCAATTAATTAATCAATCAATTAATTACTACTTTCTTGATTTTGATGATATCACTAATTAATGTTTCTTAAGGTTCCTATTATTTAAAAAGTCTAATAACGTTATATGTTTTGTAAAAGAAATGTCTAAAAGACAATACACTTTGCGGTTTGGAGGAAGTAGATATTTGGGTAGTTTAATTTTGAGAGGACTTCGAATTGCTAGAAAAGGGTGTTTTAACATGCATGTTACCTTGGAATGTGATCGACTCAAACTTTGTCGTTAAATAACTTACAAGAGATGATATTTTTGAGCTGAGTGACGAGGGAAACTCGCAGTCATTACTTGTAAACATACATGGTAAATTTTTAGCCATGCTTATTCAAAAAATTTATATG